ACACACACACACACACAGAAACAGGCACACACACACACACACACACACACACACACACCACAGCAACCTAAAAAGCAGCAGTTCTCATGGTCTGTGACGTACAGTCAAAGTTTAAGTGGTATGGCTACCATATGTCAGAGGATGCTGAAACACAATTCAAAATGTGCAGAATTTAACACACMCACAGCAACAGACACAAGTTGCTTATAGCAGTTTCATGAAATGTAACTATTCTAAGGCAATGTGTGGCAGCAGCATGTGAATGTGAATAAGCTCAATGGGATTGTCAGGTTAGTTTTAATGTGATGTTCTGCCAAATACTTATCAGTAGCACCTTCTCAGTCATCTSAAACACAGAACTCACTGGTGAAAGCCAAGGTCTGATTTGTAATTCGAACAGGGACTCACAGAAAGWAGTGCAGGGTAGATAAAAGATGAGTAGAAATGCAATGACCCAAAGGAGTGCAACAGAATATAAAACCAAAACCTTGTAACTAACTGGAAACTGATAAGGAGTAATGGCCATGATATAAGGAAGCGGTTTTACAAAATAAAAAAGGGAAGTAACAAATCAGAAGAAGTGATGCCAAACTAAAGTAACTTCATGATGCAGTTCAGTTTTTCTGTAGRGATTAAACTGACAGGGTACAGACCCCAAACCCTGATCTGTTCACTGTTTACTCCCCCCTCCCCACAGACAAAACATCCTCCTCTTCCAACAAATATGTTGACATTCTCTGTGACACACTCATGGCTTCCCACACTCTGACTAATGTTCTTTGCCCCCACTTGGCCTGCTGCGAGGCCGTACAACACACGGCCCCACTTTTCCCGCTGACACAACCCGAAAGAARGATGAAAACTGAAACAGAAAAATTGTGACGAAGCATTTAAGTGATAAAYGTCCGACTCCCCATTTTTCACACTAACTTTAGAGAGATTTTATCTGAGACTGTAGAAGTTTAGAGAAGCTGAGGTCAAAACCTTCATCGTTCACTTGCTTAAAAGTACAAATAAATAAACTATGAATCATTCTAAGACACAACAGGTATTTGCAGTGCATAAACAGCTCCTACCAGAATAAAATGCTGTTTTAAGATTTCTGTTTAAACAGAAAATGATGTATGGAGCTGCATTCTGCATGAAACACTAAAAACTAAAGCTTTTTCTGTAAAACAAAACTGACAGGATTTTCGTGATAACTTTGGTTTTGCTGACAGATCAATAAGCTCTGTGATCAATGGAAAATCTAGCAACATTAAATCAGTTTTTAAAATTAAGTACAATAAAATGGAGAACTGAAACTGACATAGAATGAAATAAAAGCATCCATCCATCCATCCATCCATCCATCCATCCATCCATCCATCCATCCATCCATCCATCCATCCATCCATCCATCCATCCATCCATC